TCACATTTGATGCTGGGATTGCAAAAGTGTAGCCACTCTAGAAATCAGTGTTGAGAATTCTCAAAAAGCTAAAAATACATCTACCAAATGACCTAGTCATATTGCTCCTTGGTATGTGTTCAAAGCATGCCATATTCCTGTTGGTTTGAATGAGAATTTCCTGACCCCCATAATCTCATGTATTTGAACATTTGTACCCTAGTTTATGATGTCATCTGTGGATGCTTCTAACGTGTACCTTTGCTGGAGGAAGTATGTTATTGGAGGTGGCCTTGGAGAGTTAACCCCTTAAGAAAATGGCAGGCATCCTTAATCATCAGGGAAATGCAAATCAAAACCACTCTGAGATTCCATCTTAACTGATGAGAACAGCTAAGATAAAGAACACCAATTACACTTTATGCTGGAGAGGATGAGGAGACAAGGGAACACTCCTCCATTGCTGTTGGGAGTGCAAGCTTGTACATCTACTGTGAAAATCAGTATGGCAATTTGTCATACAATTAGGAATTAACCTACCTCAAGACCCTGCAATACTACTCTTGGGCATATACCCAAAGAAGGCATGTTCACACCACAAGGACATTTACTCAGCTGTCTTCATAGCAATATTATGTATAATAGCCAGAACTTTGAAACAACCTAGATACCCCTCAAATGAAAAATGGGTATAGTAAATGTGGTTCATTTACACACTGGAGTACTACTCATCAGTAAGAAACAATGATATCTTTAAATTTGCAGGCAAACTGACAGAACTAGAATAAGTATCCTGAGTGAGGTGATCCTAATTGTAGATGTTGCAGGGCAGATCTTGAGAACCTTTTGCAATTTAAATTATTCTCTCTTACATAGATGCCAAAATTTTCCATTCAATCGTGATTATTCCTTCATTATCATTTTATATGTTGTGAATGGCAAAGTATACGCTAAGTTTGTGTTTTCACATACTTGTTCTTGGTAGCAAAGCAGCTACAAATGACTAGATAGATGAATAAAGAGAAGGTACAGATTAATTTTGTCACAGGATGGAAATGTACTGTAACACCAAGCAGATTGAATTAAGCATGGGGTATTCAGCTATTGTTCTGAGCTAAGCAGGCCATCTAACATTAAACAATTTTGTACTGTCCAATTGCACAAAGCTATTCAATGAAAACAGTAGTCAAGGCATCATGTGGTAAAAAGGATTCCATTTTTCTAACCAAAACTGTATCAGCTGATCTAGTTTTTTTTCAATGAAAATTTTTACTGATTAATTGGGAATTTCACTAAAGGCACCCCTATCACACTTGCCTACAACTTCTCCCAGTACCACCCTCCCAAGCCAGCATACATCCCCCCAAAATACAATAAGTCCAATCTGTGGTGTCCACACACTCATTTGGGGCATGGTGAAACTCCCAATGGCAAGCACCCTAAAGGTAACCAAATCCTCCCCCACGCCCCTTCCTTATGTGGGAGGTCTTTCTGTATGCTACAAATATATGTTGCTTTTACTGGCTGGTGAATAAATCTGGAAGGCAGAATTTGGTTAGGTAAGAATTCTGTAAAAAGAGGCAGGGAAAAGAAAGACAAAGGACAGTTGCCATGCGGTTGCCAAGAAGACAGGATTGCAAAGTATCACCTGGATAAGCCACAATGACATGGAGACATACAGATTAATAATAATGGGCTAATGAATAAGAGAAAGCTAGCCAGTGAGAAGCCTAAGTCAATGGCCAAATAATTACAAATATATATTGAGTCTCTGAGTAGTTATTTCTTAAACAGCTATGGGACCTGGTGTGCAGAGTAAAATCAGTCCAGTGGGACAGAAAAAGATAGAAAAAATATGCTTTCTACAACTACCAGAAGCCATCAACTGTGAACACCTAAGGGAAATGTATTAGAAAAAATCTTGATTTGGTGTAGTAAATAAGAAAATTTTTTGTTAAAGTATTTTGTATTTAAGAAAGATATATTTCTATGCTCATGTAGCACATAGGACTTGGTTAACAATGTACCTAGATCAAATTATCCTGGATTCCAGTTTTACTCTGTGTTTAAAGGTGATTTAGCTCTCAATATTTATATGCATGCATCTGTGTTTATGTGAAACTGTGAGTTGTACATTGCTTTTCCCTCTTGCCAGGACATTTAATTAATTTTTCCATCTACTTTTGTAAATCTCCACTAACTCTAGGACTCCTTTTAATTCCTATTTCTTTATTCCCCTCTTCTCATGTTTTAGTGCTCTTTAAACTTCACTTTCTGTTTGTTGCTATTATTGGTGTTGGGGTTGATGATGGTTGTGGTGGTGGTGATGTATGAGTGTGTATGTGTATGCATAAGGGTGTATGGGTATGTGTGTTTAGGTACAGAGGCTGAAGGCACAGGACAATTCTGTGATATTGACTCTCTCCTTCCACAATCTGTTAGTTCTAGGACTTGAATTCAGGTGTTCAGGCTTGTGTGACCCATATGCCTACCAGTTGAAACATCTTGCTGTCCTTTATATTTGATTGTATAAAACTCCATCTTATTTTTCTGATAGAGTTGGATTCATTGTACCCTGAAGCTTCTTTCCTCTACTTTGGTAATTTGAATAAAATCTGCCTTGTCACTTTTTAAATAGATCATTTTTGACAGACACTGATAGTTCATTTCGTTCCATTTTATTTTTATTTTTTATTTGTTCTTTTTTGGGGGGGTTCAAGATAGGGTTTTTCTGTGGCTTTGGAGGCTGTCCTGGAACTAGCTCTTGTAGCAGACTGGACTGCTTTCAAACTCACAGAGATTCACCTGCCTCTACCTTTCGAGTGCTGGGATTAAAGGAGTGCACCACCAATGCCCACACATTCCATTTTATTTTAAAAATGGTATCTCTGAAAAATCCACAATAAAAACTTCAGGCTTCCTATTTTTTACCCATAAATGAGGTGGTGTATCCATGATTATTATTGTTCTCAGAATTATTATATTGATAAATCAGCACAAAATTAGTTATATGAGGAAGTAAATATTAAAGACATTATACAATTCAGACATAGACAGGACCTGGAGGAACTGATAGGTGATTGATTTCAAAAGTTCCTCTCTAAGGACTTTCATAGTATTAGCATATGCCAAATAAGATCTCAAATAGAAATTGAATAGTCCTATTAGCTGCCAAACATATTATAACAATGATTGGCATAGCAAGACATCCATAATGGCAAATTGGCATTCTTATCTTAGGAGTAACCAAGATAAATCCAAGTCTAATTGGATTTGAAGCCTTCTCAGCAGTAAGAAATTCATGTGTGCTCTTGTGAAGCTCATTCAATATCCATCTATGGAAAGATCATAGACCCCCAAAAGTAGAATCCTTACTTCCTTTTTGCAAAACAAGTACAATTTCTAACTTATTCTGGATATTTATCCTGATAAAATCAGGTAAGTGTAGCTCTCACACCTCATCAAAAAAATCTTCCATTGCAGCAAGTGGAAACTATTACAGAGATCCACAGCTGGTCAAAAATGAAGAGAATAAATGACCATTGGATGACTAAAGCCAGTCAGTACACTTTTAGCAGCACAATTTCCAAATGAAATGCTATGGAAACATTTGGGGAAAGGTATCACATTAGTGTCATAGACAGAGGACAAGGATACCTGATGGAGAATGGTGCTTAATATATACTAGAGGGATGCTGTATCCATGAAATCTCATCATTGTAGTTGTCTAAATAATATCTGCACAATGACAGCATCACTTGACATGCCAACATGGATGGGAAAAATTCACAGTTTTATTCCTTGCGGAAAAGCTATGGGCAATCAATGGCTGCCAAGATGGGGAGAGCCAGCTTTCTCTAAATTAACCCCCAGATATATTATCCAATACTCTTGTCAGCCTTATAAATGTATAAACAACAAGCAACAATAAATTGACTAAGAGGGATTGTGAGATGGTAGGGAGCAAAGCAGTACTTGAAGGAAGGAGAGAGAAGGCTGAAAATGATGTAAATATAGTACTTATTCATGATTTTCTAAAAATGTAGTATTTCAAAAAGAAAAGTGATAACTAATACATTTACTAAATCTGATACAAGGCTTTTAAGGCATCTAGGATGACCATGGTAATCAGGGTGCTGTATTGTTTCTTGATAAACATTGTGAAATTTTTCTGATGGAGAATATTGTTGGTAATTAAAAAGGAATGCTTCATAGTGGTTTTTGAAAACTTTCAACTTTAGAAAAGTGACAGGCATAAAAATGAATTCATAAAAGCCAAGGTAAGTACGAAATATTCTCTGTGAGAGGCAGATGCTTTTACAGTGCACACTGTTTCTGAAATACAAACTTACATCAGCTCACATTTGATTTTCTTTCAAGCAAAAAATCAATGTTTACAAGCCAGTTTTCTTTTTGAGTTTTCTAATAAGAATCACTTTATTTCTTACTGCACTATAGTTTGTGATTCATGGTTTTGGTATTTGTTGCCCAGAGTCTTACCTAGAAGATCATTCTGGAGCATCCACTTGAAAATCCAAGTGTTGGTTCCTAATGTGTCTGGTTTCTTGCTCTCAAATCTCCAATGATTCTGTTAGAGGTTAGACAACAATTTATATCAGGATTCAAAACTTAAAATACAGTATTTTAGGATTTAGGTGGTGCTTAGCTAAATGTCGTTCATAGCCCAGGTGTGGAAACCAGGAAAAGAGACATTGGTCAATAAGAGCTACCAAAAATGTAAAACAGTATGGCAACATTGCCTGCGCTTTACACTTAAACACTTGACAGTCACCATGATTATGTACACACATGAGAGAGTTAAGGAAACATGAATGCAGTTAAGAAAAGTTTGTGTGATCATAATTTAGCTACAAGGAAGTATATTTCTAATTTTCCATTTTAAATTTCATGCCAGTTTAAAATAGTTTCAGGTTTTACTTATAATATTTTGTCCTCTGTTATTCCGACAGTTTGACATTTGTTTTTTATTATTTATTATATATTTTTATGTATTCCATATCCACAATTTTATTTGTTTACAACTTCTTTGGAAAAGGTTCCAACATGGTTAATCAGAATTGAGTCGTCTGAGTATTCTGACAATAATGTCAGAATATAGGTTTTAAATTGCCCACTCACAGAAATCACAAAACTTACATTTACATAACCTTATATCAAAAAAGTAAACCAGTTGTTGCATAGGTCAAGAAGTTGGAAAATGAATCATAAAACATCAAGCAAATAAGTGGATCAGTATCTAATAGTAGAATGGGAACACAATCAGCCTTCCATATATCTAGCTTAAATTTACCTTTCAGGGAATACAGATTGTCAAGATATTCTTCATGAGTACTAAATATTCAATAATGCACCTATAAGCATCAAAAGAAAGGAAATCAAGTTTGTACTTTGTGATTTACAGGTTTCTGCAACAAAAGAGAGTGAGAGAAGGTGGAGATGGAGGGAGTGGACATGGGCAGAGGGAGAGAGAGGAAGGGGAGTAGGAGGGAGAGAATCAGAGGGATGGAGAAGCATATCTGAAATAATGGAACTGGTGTTAAATTTTCAGCTCAGTTGAGTAAATTATCAGGCAGAGAATTTGCATATATATAAGATCATAGAATAGACGGTTTGTAAATTAGAATGATGCTAAAATTTAAGTAGTACATTCTCAATGAGCTCTAGTCATTCTTCATTTTCTTTCCCATCTTTACAAACTTTTGATAAATGAATAAGCAGGATTTTATGACAAGGAAAGCTATGACTGCTACACAAGCCACTAGGAATCCAATCACATCCAGAGAGTAGTACTGGTACCCGGTGAGGTTGTATGCAAGAGGCCTCAGATGCTTGGCCCCTTTGTGGCGCATGACAAACTCAATCCAGAAGACGGCTCTGTCCAGAGGCTTCATGGGCTGGTCATTGTGAATGGTTGATAACCACATTGCATTCTCTTTATAGCTGAAAAAGTAAAATGGACATCAGCTTATATAATGAATGAAAAATGCACATGGGTAATTTTTTCTATGGACAGTAAAATAAATTGCACAGACAGAAGGAAAATGAGTTATATTTTGCATTCATGACTAGGAAGACCTTCAAAGGTATATCTGAGCTCCTTGCACATGCAAGAGTAAGCATCTAAAAAGAAAATGGGAAGATAAAATATTCCTGAAGTAGAGTTTGGAGACAGCTAAGCTTTAAATACAAAATATCAAAAAGTGATATTATTTGAGTATATAAAATTTCAGTTACCCATAAGCAATTATTATTAAACTATGTTTTCAAAGCATATACTAGTGTCAGGATGTATAAGTAGAATGCAAGTCCCTCTCAAGACTCAATGGCAGTGCATATCTGTGTAAAGCCGATGAAGATTGCAATGAGATTCCTATGGAGCGCTATCTATGGGCAGTGGTTATTATTACAAAATTGTCCTGGTTCTCATTAATTGCTATGATAACTGTTTCCCATTACTTTTATGTATTTTCATGTCAGTTATCACGTACTCAATGAAATTTTTAAACGTGTACCTTTCTTCTCTCTTACTGTACTGGGAATTTTATTATATATTCTTATTGTAAATTAGATTCACAATACAATTTTGCTATTATTTTTAAATATATATGTTTGCATAAATACATGTGTGTGTGTGTGTGTGTGTGTGTGTGTTATGAGATCTGCTGGAGTTGGAGTTACAGATATTGATAACCACCTGGTGTGGGTGTTGGGAACAGAAAATTTGTCCTGTGCTAGAATGGACTTTATCTTACCCACTCAATCATCTTTCAAGCTTAATTTTTGCTGTGATTGTTGATATTCATTTTTTATTATTGCATTTGTAGAAATAAGAGCTGTAAAATTCCACACTGAAGTATTGTAGGTGCATTTGTTTTTAATACTGAAATAATTTTTGATGAGTGTAAAATAGAGGTAACACAGAGACATTATTCATCAACCCTAATGTCAGTTTGATGTAGCAATTGTAATAATGGTAACTTATTGTCTTACAATTTACAAAGCAAAATGATAGAATTGTATATTTCTTCTCATTAAGTAATCTTCATTTTTAGTATGCATATTATATTTACTTAAAATTTAGCATGCATGACCCCAATAGTCATGCTAACATAGGAAGAGGTCAATCTCACTGATCCCAAATCTACACAAAATTATTATAGGCACTTAAGTAATGCTCAGAGTGGGAGAGAAATAGTCTTTTCCAGGAAAGAAATTCCACTTGGATTTTTTAAAACAAAGAAAAATAATGATGGGCATATTCATTTGCCTCACACTAATATGTTTTCACTATTTGAATTTATCCTAAAACAGATTGCATATTTAAATATTTAACCATACACTTACTTTTATGTTAATATCTTTACTATTTCAATGTAGAAATTACAACTTCCATAAAAGTTATGTATCTCTTTTATAATATTTATGTTTCTCTTTTCTAATGATTTCCTATAGCTTCTAGGAGTAATACATTTGGTACCACCCATAACATTTCATTTTATTTCACTTATTGGCTATTTAACTTTTGCATTATCCATAAAACTCTATTCTGTTAGTTTATTAAAAGAATTGAAAAGAAAAATTGATGAGAGATGGTGGCATACGCCTGTTGGCCAAGTAGTTTTGAGGATGAAATAGAAGGGTTGCACATTTAGGACTTGTCTGATTTACATAAGAAAGTAACATAAAATGTAACATGAAAACTAAACGATAACAAAAACAGAAAAACACTTGACACTGAATCATGATAATATCTTTCTCTGTACCTACAATTACTTTTGCCTTCAGGACAATTCTTACTCTATAGACCTCAGTAAGAAGCACAAAGAATAATAAATAAGTAAATAAACAAACACATAAATAAATAATGAATGCACATTTAAAAAGATTATACTCACAAAGGATTATCTATAACTGCTTCCAGTGCATTGAGCAAATCTAACCGTGTCATTGTTCTGAAATTTAATGCAACAGCTGCTCCTTTGGCCACCATGTAGGCAATGTTATCATGTTGTTCTCCAAACAAAGGAATGCCAATCATAGGGATTCCAAAATGAATTGCCTCATAGACACCATTAGCTCCACCATGAGTTACAAAGGCTTTGGTTTTTGGATGACCTAGAATAAGAGAATTCAGATTAATATTAATTGGCAGCCCTTTTTTACCTTCATATTTTCTTTAAATTAGAAACAAGCTTTTTTTTACATGTCAATTCCTGTTCCCCCTCACTCTTACCCTCTCCTGTTCTCCACCAACCATATTCTATCCCCTTTGTGCTCCTCAGGGTGGATGAGGCCTTTCATGGGAGATCTTCAAAGTCTGCCATATAATTTGGAGCAGGGCCTAGGTTCTCCCCTGTATGTCTAGCCTAATAGAGTATCCCTCTATATAGAATGGGCTCTCAAAATCCATTAATATACTGGGGATAAATACTGAATCACTACCAGAGGCCCCATGAAATGAGACATGTATACTATAAGGAACTGAAACAATATTTTTATATGAATATTATTTTCTTAATAATTAGATTTATCAGTTTAGTTTACAACATGGCTGTAGTTTGCCTTTCATTCTCATCACAAGAAAAACTACATGAAGATTCTTGTACTTCTAACTTCAGTATTAATGTTTTCCTATCTTAGAAAAAGAAGAAGCTACATGTACAGACATATATCTTTCAAATTTATTTGGGACTTGAGACTTAAACTATGAAATACTGGTTTCCAGTTGAACAAATGGAGTACATGGTAGATATGAGAAAATTAGTGTCAAAAAAGATCAAGTATATATCAGAAATTGTTATCTTAAATAAACAGTACATTTACTCAGTTCAACATAAAGGGTATTGAAGTTAACTAGGATATGTTTCCTTTCCAGAGGCTTACCTAGAATGTCATTCTGGGGGAGCCATTTGTAGACTCTGGTATTGGATCCTAAGGTGTCTGGTGTTTTGCCATCAAATCTCCAAAGAACCTGTTAAAGGTTAGTTAATCTTTACTGATGGAGCACAATTTAACATTATAAAAGCTGAACAGGTTATATTTAGGAATTCAAATTCATATGCATATATGTATGTAACAACATTAATTAAAAAATAGATGCTGTGAATTTGAAAGACAGTATGGATATGAGGGGATTTGGGGGAGGAATAAAAAGTAAAGAGTGGCACATTAATAATAATTTATATTTTATAGTACTATATCTTGATAGCTCTATTAGTCTAGTTTTAATATTATATTTTAAATGCCTTACAATTTATGTTTATTCACTTGCTCTATGCTATTTTCAATGAATTTCAAGTTTGTTTTTATTTATTCATGAAAATATCTCATCAGCAATTCTCTCTGGTCTGGAGTTTGAAACAATACCATAATGTTGGCCAATGGGAATATGGAGTCAGTCATCAGACCCATCCTAGGAGTAACCTTCCATAATGTAGTTTTAGCTCATGGTCCAAGAATGGAGTCACATGAGGATAATTCTGAGTGTTTGAGAGAACATTCTATGAAAACAGGACAAGTGTATTGTAACCTAAAATTTTTTCAAAACAATATTTTTTGGAATGTATTTTCATATTCCTTCCAGGTGTAGCTGAGAGGGGTGAGTCTAATCCAGCTAAACCACTACTGCTTGCTACTGTTTTCCAGATAATGATTAACCTGTCCTTTGTGTGCCTCTGTGGTGGTTGGAAAGAAAATGGCCTCCTAAGTTAGTGGCACTATTTGGTCGTGTGGCCATGTTGAAGGAAGTATGCCTCTGTGGAAGAAGTGTTTGAGGTCTTCTCTGCTCAAGCTTCCTTCTGTACACCTTTTAGAAGACTTCCTTCTGGTTATCACAGATTCTCAGCTGCACAATATGCTTGCTGCAGCTCTCCCACACATTAGGGATGTAGCTATCTATCACTGCTTAAATGGAAATTGATATGGAAATATGGACTATGATTTTGGGTCTAATTACATAAAAAATATACAAAATTCCCCTGAACCTTCTGCTAAGTTCTTTGGGAGACTCAATGATGCTATTGAATAACAAGTAAATAGGGAATAAATTCATGCATTATTAAATCAGTTAGATTTTAATAATGCCAGTCAAGTTTTCCATGAATTAATCAAGTCTCAAAGCAAGATAGAAAATGTCATGGACTTTCCAAAGTTGTGTAGAAATGTGGAGATCTATAAAAATCTGCTATAGAAATCTATGCTGTACAAAAACAGATGTTAGCAAAGTGTCCACTTGAAGAAACAATATAAATTGTCCTTGCAATGAGTGAATGCTCAGAATCAATGAGCTCCTGGCTCATGATCTATATGTAAGAAAGTCAAACATTGGGTTAAGAAATGATGGTTTAAATATGATAAGGATTGCAATACATTGCCTAAAAACAATAACAGTGCCAGGCAGCAAATGAGGAATCCTCTAAAGGCCCCACAAAATTAAAGCATTTACAACTAAAATAATATTTATGCCAGATATAGATTGTAATCAGTCTATGTTGAGGGATTCTTGCCTTGGTCCTGTCACTGCTTAACCCCCAAAAGAACACACAGATACTCTATTAGTTACAATGCTGTCAGCCAATGTCCAGGGCTTCTCATTGGCTAGTTAAGTCTTAAGGGTTAATGCATGACTACTAATATATATTTCTATAAGGATTTATCTTTCTGAGGACAGCATCCTAACATGTCCTCTCTTCCCTGAGATTGCATGGTGACTGTCTCGACTACATTTCCCAGAATCCTCCTTCTTCCCTAGTCCCACCGATCTTACTTCCTTATTGGCCAACAGTGTTTTATTCATTAGCCAATAAGAGAGACATATACACAGAAGGAATTCCTCCATTAAACCTATTCATTTCTTACAATCTGTTACTCAAGGAAGTATACCCATTGATAGTCCTTGATCTAAAGTATTGCCATTTCCTCTCTTCATGATCCCTTCAAGTTACACAAAGGATATTGGACACCTATACTGCCTCAAACAGGTGGACTTCCATTGGCTTGCTGTAGTTTATACATGAAAGGAATCATACTTTATACAGGAGCCACTGATGATGATTATATGGGAGCAATTGCAGTCATCATCACAGTGCCTACTAATTGGCCATTTAAAGTGAGAGAAAAAGATTGAAGCTATTATTATTGTCCATATAGTCCCTTCATGGTGAAATATGCCTCCTAAGGGAGGATTCAGTAGTACAAATAAGAGTCTCGCCTTAAGACCTATACTGAAGGGAAATGATAAACCATTATTACATTTAAAAATATGATGAAAATGTTTATAGTATCAATTGATTATAGACCTGATATTTCTGTTATAGCCATGGAAGAATGGCCACCTGAATTGTCTGTTATGGGTGGTAAATTCAAACCTTATAGGATTTGGAAATATGAGCTCTAACAAAATGAAACAGAATGCTAAGGTATTTCAATGTATGAACTGAGAAGGCATAATGGAAGTCCTCCAGCCTTATGTTACTCATGTTATGATAAATTTTTGGGGAAGAGATTTTCTAATGCAAGATCATGCAGAAATATATATTTTCACCTTTAGCACTGCCCATTCTTCACAATTATGGTGGTTGCTAATGGTAAGATTGGGCTTTCGAAATGAAAAGGACTTGAACAATATTACAAACGATTATGAAACCCACATTCCCATGTGGATAAGAACATGAGCATGATTTTGGGATTTTCATAGGAGCCAAAATTCCCTAAAAATGCAGTAACCCTGCCTGGATACCTCAATAGCCTATTTCTAAAAAAAAAGGGTATCGACACTTTATAAGTTGTCAGAAAACCGTGGAGAATGGGCCCATAGAGCCTTCTTTTTCTCCCTGGAATCCTCCTGGTTTCATCATTAAAAAAGAATCTGGCAAAAGAGATGGTTGATTGATTTATGAAATGTTATTGCCACCATGTGGCCAATGGGAGCTTTACAGCCTTGTTAAATACTGGCCTTTTATAGTTTTGCAATTATGAAATACAGCTTTTTATATTATACATATTCTTCCAGATAACAAGCTAATTTTTGTTTTTTCTGATCCTTCATCCAATCAAAAAGAATTGCAGCTCTGATATCGGTGGACTCTGTACCCTCAAGGTGTGACAAAACCCCCTACTGTGTATCATCAGTACAATGCAGGAAAGGTTTCAGAGTATGTGAGGGAGTCCTACCCTAGGGCTTATATGTGTTAAGTTTCAAACCTAGGACAAATTGCTAAGGTGCCTATTTAACTATTCAAAGCCATGTTTTCCCTGTGTCCCTCAGTTCCTACCTGTTACAGGGCTCTCCTGAGTTGCAAAACCTGCCTGTCTTGAACTCTCTGGCCCAGGGGCCTGGGATGCCCTTCCTGATATAATGCAACCATTTTTGGCCTCCTGACTGCTTCACCTGGTTCTCTTCCCTCCTCTCCCTTCTCTGCTGTCCTCACAAGACACAGCTAGGTCTGGTCATTACCTCTCTGGACTCTACCAGATGTCCTTGTCCCTGCCTCTGGTTATCCTCTATCACATATGTATAAAAAACTTTCTCCTCCACCATGCATAAGAGCAATCACGTCCTTCCCTTCCCTTTTATTTCCTTTTTCATTCAATATTACTCATATCTATGATATACTGTTAGTCACTCCCAAAGTGAAAGAGTTACAAACCATATATGACAGAACTCAGGATGTGTTACATAAAATTTGGCTTATTATTACACAGAACAAAGTACAATGATCAGACACTGTGTACACAGCTACTAAGTGCAAAACTGATTCACCAAACAAATGTCCATTAGACAATTTTAAAACACTCAATGCCTTCCAAAAATTATTAGGGACTATTAATTATATACATACCAGTTTGGAAAACCTAATTATGCCCTAACTAATCTATTTAAAAATCTGATAGCAGAGACAGCATTGGTTAGCCCTCAATCTAGGTAATCTATGGGGTATTGGGCAGTATTTATTCCTGGCGTACAAATAGACTGAGTGCCCATCGCACAATGATGGGTGGTCTCTCAACCTGGATTCTTGAAGGAGGGCCTAGACCCTACCATGGATGACATGACAGACTCTGGAGATGCACCTTGGAGGAGGGCCTTACCCTCCCTGAGGATCAGAATGGGACTGGTGGGGAGGGAGGGGGAGGAGGGGCAGGAGAGGGAGTTGGGGTTGACATGTGAAACAAGCTTGTTTCTAACTTAAATAAAAAAGGATGAAAAATAATTTCAATCACTAATACAAACATCTGTATCTAGTAGGTCAGAGTCTCAGATGTAGCCCCTTAGACAATTTCATATATATGTTAAGAAAAATAGTTTAAGTTTTATAATTTTAATATCAAGAAGGCACAACCTTAGCCTTATAAATTATGTAATTATATACAATATAAAAAAACTGAAAATGACCCTAAATGGAGTAAAGGACTTAAACAGTCCACAAATATTACCAGCTGAGACTGAAAAAGAATTAGAATGGCTGGAAAAGGGAATATTAGAAGCACATGTGGACCTAGTGGATCCAAAACTGGACTGTTTTCTTGTTATTTTTGCCATCTAGAGCATACCCCTCTGGAATATTAATGCAGAGAGAAGAAATAATACTAGTATGGTTATTTCTTTAACATGAACAGAATAAAAAACTGAAGACATACATAGAAAAGATCTCTGATTTGATATTAAAAAGTTAAGTTAAGGCTTTTTTAACTGACTGGATGGGACCCAGCAGAGATTATTGTACCTTTATCAAATGAGTAAATTTCCTCCTTATGCTGATGAAGTCAGTCACCTGAAACTTTAGGTTTTGTCGCTTTCAACTTAAGTTCCCTTGGACTCTTCCTTATTTTCACATTTCTTCCTTGAGTGGTAGGAATTTCACTCTGACTGGTTCCAAGTAAGCCCCGTGTTTCCTCATTCATGATGCACAGACATCGCTGTCAGGGAAGCACCCATCTCTGTATTTCCTTTATACATTTCTTACACAAACATTGGCAAGGCAGTCCAGAACATAGTTTTTCTTTTACTGCTCTTTCTCTCAATCCACCAAAACTGTACTTTGGTTGAGAGTGGTGAACCTTGGACTCTCTTCCTTTAAATGGCCCTCTCACTGCACACTGTACAGGCCTACTCCAAAATTAGGATGCAGAGTCATGCTACATTTCAAACTTTTTCAATACCTGCTTACTGTTATTCTTCTAGAAATATTAAATAACCCATTGAAAAAATCGAATGTATGCAGTTACTTTAAATAATCAACAAATAAAAAAGTGCCGTTGAAGAATTTGATTATGTCTATATACTCTTGATAGCAATGTCATCATTATGTCAGCATTTTAGAATGTGTGCACAGTGATCAGAGTGCTTATATCCAAGTCACTCTCAGTCAAAAACACCGTCTGTAGTATTATAGTATATGTTGCGAGTGTGTTTCCAAATACGCTAAGATTAATTTGAGCTTACTTAAAACTTGACCTGTTGCACAGTGATTTCTATAATCACACCTTTAAAGCACATTCACAGACTTAGTGTGCAGTCACCTCCCATGGAGCACTTTATCTCACCTTTTGTGGAATCTGGGCAAGGGCCCATGCAATTGTGTTGGCCTTTGCTTCTGTCATGTTGCTAACCATTGACCCCAGAGAAAACACCACAACACCATGCTCTCCAGAACTCTGGACAAAGTCTTCCATTTCCTGAGAAGAGAATTTGCTTCATGACAAAATACCAATTGTTGAAAAATCACTTATGATATCTTTATGAAATACTAGGAGAATAGAAATTAAAGTGTTCCTAGGAATTTTTAGAACAGTGGTATTAAAATGTACAGAAGACAAAAATGGCAATGTCAAAACTTTGAACTTCACAGGCATCACTATGAAGTGCACTCACACATTGTGCAACAAAAATTCTAAATATTTCCCTCCAGCAAAATTAAAACTCAGGAGTGCAAGCATATTATATGAAATATTCATAAAATTGTAGCTTCATTTGCATGTTTTCATCCTACAGAAAAGGTGATTTTTCCCTTTCTATTTTATTTTTCTCCTGTTATGACTCATTTAAAATTATTAACTAGTGTTTGATGAAATAATATCTAAGACGTGGTGTGTGCATATGTAGTAGTTACCACAAACTTCCTACATTAATAAAATGCTTTGGTCCTTTGTCAAATAATAATAACTGCATGGCAAACATAAACCACATAATGATTTTCTGATATTGTGTATAAATAGGGCATTTTCAGAGAATGACCTCCATAATTTACTGGTTGGAGTGAGGCTATATCAGTATTGCTTCTCTGGATCTCAAAACATTAACTCAGATACAGGTTAATCTTACCCTTTGATGATTGATAATTTCCAAAATAATGAATTTACCTGACTTAATTTCTTTGTATTTTTGCATGTGTTTATAGTGTGCATACATGTGCGCACATGTGACTTTGTGTATGTGTGTGAGAACATGTTCTTGTGTGCTTATGTGAATGTGCTTATGTGCATTTGTATGCATATGTGTGTGCGTGTGTGCATGTGCGAGTGTGTGTGTGTGTGTGTGTTTATATTGGGGTCCTGGTGAGGTTTCCTGCCTTTGTGTTAGCACTGGGTGCCAAAAGTTAAAATCTGATGCCTTGCTCCATCAATCTCACACAGAACACAAATCTGAACATTTTTAATGGATTAGTGGCCAGCAACCTCTCAGTATCACACCTTTATTTCATCCTCAGTATTAATGTCATAGTACTGTGTTGGGACATCCAATTTTTTTTACACGGGTGTTGGGACTCAAACTTATATCCTCATAGCTGCTCGGTAAGGACTTTACCCAAAGGCTAACGGCCCAAGTACCCTAACTGACTTAATTTAATTCACTGATATGAATATTTCTCAGGTCTATCCCATTCATTCCTGAGTTTATTGACCCCCTAGTTAGTGGGATGTTTAATCCCACTTCCAATATATCTCTATCACTGGTAGAAAATTTAATGAAAGATATAAAATCACTTTTACTAGAGATTAAATTAAGTGGAAAAGAGATTTAAAAATGTATTTACCTTAGGCAAGGGTTTAGCAGGTTTGCAGTGGAGTCCTCCTACAAAGTCAACATTTGGTAAGGTTGGGCGAGGAAAATCCAAATCCCAGTAGGAACGAATGAGCCACATTTCTGCTTTGCCTGATGTCTCAGCTAAGGTCGTGTGCCTTCCTAAATTGAGAAAAATGAGCAAATGAGAAACTGAAAAGTTGGCAGGATTGTCACCTAAGTATAAAATAAATATTTTCTTAAAATGATGGAAGAATTTATGTTTGATGTAGAACATGCACTTTAGAATTAATTTTCATTGCTAGGTAATATAATTTACATGTGCAATTGAATTGTGGGTCACATAATATACTTAAATGTCAGCTTGAGTTTATTTTTAAAGTAGACAGTAAGAACTACCTCATGTTCACTCTGTAGTTTGAGATAATAGTTATTGTAATGACCCACTCAGCCACTATATGAATGAACCCATATTTTATTCCTTTTCAAATCTACAAAAGGAACAGTGAAAATATAAATACACTTTCCAGTTTCAAAAGTCACACCATGCTGTGTAGCCTGGCCAGATTTCCCTGAATATTTGTGGTGTGTAGCTAATCCTTTTTCCATGTTTTACCAAAGGAGATGGATAGTTTATGAATGGTTGAATTTATGATTAGTGCTTCTTTTTTATTTCATATTAAGAATTTAATAGCATGCAATCACAGCATTTTTAGAAATTATGATACTAGAAATTTTTGGCCAGTCTTAACAATGGCATATTTTTTTAATTTTATTTTCCAGTTTAAATTTAGATAAGAAACAAGGTTGCTTCACAAGTCAGTTCCAGGTCCCTCTCCCATTCCCCCCTCCCTCCCGAGCCCTCCCCCCCCCGTTATCCCCTCATTTCCCCAGGGAGGGTGAGGCCCTCCATGGGGGTGTGCATAGTCTGTCATTTCATATAGGGCAGGGCCTAGACCCTTCCCCAAGAGTTCGGGGTGAGAGTGCACCTCACATTGTTCTATGGGAGTCCAAAGTCCGTGTGTATACTTGGGATAACAATGGCATATTTTTTAAGTTAAAAAAAAACACAACTTCAAAATGGATAGACTGAGTCCACGCGTACCCAAACATCTGTAGTGTTTAAACAATGGATGCTAGGAAAGTTCACAATAAAGGAATGTGGTGTTAGTAAAAACCACACTTCCATTTTTAAGCCTGTGAACTAAAATAGTATCTTTCAAGCGTAAGGGAATTCTTTAGGGAATACTTTATGATTTATCATTTTGTTTATGTGTGTGTCTGTGTAAGTACATGCTAAGTTTATTCTTTTGACCACAGAGACACAAAAGAGCAGCAGGATCCCTGAAGCTGAAGATACAGGCAAACTTGAATCACTGTACCTGGAAGGGTGCTACTAACAGAACTCAGGCACTCCACATGAAAAGAAAACACTCTTAAAATTTTGAACATTAACATTTTCAGACACCACATTTTTATTTTAAGTAAAGAAGGTGGCCTATGCAAGAGAAAATAATTTCTTCAATGTTATATACATATTAGAATTGTTAAATATGCAATTATTTAATCTACATTAACTAAGATTTGATTAATGAGGTAGTGATTTATTAAAATATATGAAAATTAAAGTAAAATGAGTAAAGAATCACATTGGGAAACTCTTCTTGCATCTCTGTGCAACTATATATCTCACCAGAATGTCCTGTATCAGAACTGCTCAGCTTCTATTTGATTAATAGTATGAGCTTTTACAAGGTTTGTGAGTTTGGTAGTTAATATCATATTACATTAGTTCATGCACAAAAGACAACTCTCACTTTGTATTTCATGGATGTAAGGATAGATTTAAATACTTATGAAATTTTGGTCACTGAGCTACAGATAAGAAACATAACTTACCCAAAGTTTCACTGTAAAACTGATCCCATTTCTTCTCATTAAATGGCTGGAACCAAAAGTCAAAATAAAGCATACATATCATATTTCTTACCCTCTCCATGAATGTCATTTGACCTCCTAATCCTGACAAAATTATAGGTACATAAGAGGGAGGGAATATAAATCCTCCACTGCTCTTTTCCACTTTGTAGCCAGGAGAAAAGCGAAGGCTGTACAGAAAAGGAATGTGGAGCAGTTCAGCTATCAGCTCTCCACAGGGAGCAACAGCATCCGAGACAATGACATCAAACTTGGATTTCTGTAGTTTTGTCATCAGCTGTTTGTTTGAAACTGTGTCTTTACAAAGACTTAGATAACTGTCAGAAATATCCTGAAACAAATTTTCTAACAAAGGCGAGTATGATAAACATATATCACTTGGTAACTCATAAATCCATACATTCACAAGCCTTAGGAAAGACTTATCCAGATCATCTTTACTGAGAGTTGAAGGAAAACTCTCAAACTTTAGGTTAGGTGACTTTTCGGGATCAAGAAAGATGGAGGCTGAAGGTCTCAGAACAGTTACTTCATGTCCTCTCTCTGTAAGCTCATCCAGTATTATCTTTAGATTCAGCCAGTGACTGTATTCCATTGGCCATACCAACACCCTCCCACAATTCGCAGATCTGAAGTAGCAAGTAATCTGCAGTAGGAGTAGCAGAAGAGACTTCCACTGTGCAGGCATCCTGGAAAATCAAATTCCACTGTTCATAGTGTGTTCCCTTCTGGGTGTACTTATCTTAATATTGAACAAGAAAAAAAGCCATGAGTTAAAGTATAACCTGAGTTGGTCAAACCAAATATACTAAATGACCACATTGAACTTGTGAGATAAATGGAGATAGTAAAAACAAATATTAATTATTTCATATTTTTGTACATTTGTTTAATGTCACATGTTTTGTAATGAACCAAACTTAGGAGTTTTAATAACTCTTCTCTTTCTAAGATATTTGAATAATAAAAAGAACACTGATTATCTACAGGTTAGCTGAAATTTCTTCTCAACACAGAAACTAAAATGTAGTTATTACACAGCTTACAATTATTTTATGGTTATCATTTTCAAGAATTTTTGCAAGAATGGTGATTAACATATTCACTTACACATGATTTCTAAAATAGCTAGACAGTGTGCCTCACTTACTTAACTGACAGAAGCTATGGGAATCAGATAGACACATGTACCTAGGGAAACAGTTGAACAAACTGACCTGATTGATATCCAACTAAGGCAGCCAGTTGGTTCAACTAATCTGTCCACTGGTCTTTCATAAGCCCAAGAAATACCTGAATAGCTTGTTATCATAATCTTATTCCCAAAGGCCCAGGGAAGTAGGTGAGTACATGCATCTATGTATCCTCCTCTCATGGAAACACCATCACCACAATTCCTGAGATCACCAATGTCTGTGAGATTGCCCATGCAAGACATATTTGGTGTCCTGAAATTTTGCTGAAGCTATACATTGTCAAAACATTCTAAGATGCATCATTCCAAGAAGTTCTTTGATTTTAAAAGCGAGTTTCTCATCACCTTGACCAACTCCTTCACCAAAACCAAATTGTAGTCTTTTATAGATGTAATTTGTCGCATGATATGAAGGAGTAGTATAGGGTTTTATGTGATGGAAACATGTTGCACAGATACCCCTAAATCATGGAGAACTGGGATGTTAATTTTTTTCTGGAAATTCCCTTTTAGACATACCCAAATATTTCATTCAATTGTGATTTTACAAGGTAGCAGGTAGCATATCAGTGAGAAAACCATCAATTCACAAAAATGAATAATAAAAATGAAGAAAGGGACTAGATACTCAAACAAGAAATAGAATTAATAAAAGGACAGTATGATTTATTTAATTATAAGTTGCATGTTTGGAGGTTAAGTATAAATGGAGTTCTTAATTGATCTAATCAATAAAAACCTGGAGTCAGATATAGAGGAAAAAGCTGAGAGATCAGAAAGAAGGAGCAAACCACCGCCACACCTTACTTCGTTAGTGTCTCAGCAGACAAGCAACTGAGTTCCTATTTCTCCTTGCTTATACCCTGTTTCTGACCAGCTACCTCATTTCTTTTTGTACTTATCTCTAAACCTCTATGTTTATCTAGTGGCAAGCTCCATTATCTGACCCTCAAGATGGGCTTATTTGTACAAGCAAGGTATCCCAACATATCCCCCTTTTTGACTAAATTTTCAAGAAATTTATAACTAACATAAGAAGTATAAACAATAAGTACAGCAAGTGTATACAATCTATACAGGCAGTAAGTATATTAACAATGTCTAATCCACCATATTAGGCATTTCAAAGAAAATACTCCATAATCTATTCTTTCTTGATGAGATCGAAGTATTTTTTCCTCAATATACATTTTTATTTAAATTAGAAACTTGCGCGCTTCACACGTCCATCCCAGCTCCCTCTCCCACACTTTCTCCCTTGTCCCTCCACCAGTTCCCCCCCAGGCCTGGCCCAATACCCACATCATTCCCCAAGGTGGGTGGGTCCTTCCTTGGGGGAGGGAATCTCCAGAGTGTGTCATTAAATCCAGGGCAGGACCTAGGCCCTTCCCCATGTATCCAGGGTAAGAGAGCATCCCTCCATGTGAAATGGGATCCCGAAGTTCATTCGTTTGCCATAGTAAACACTGATCTACTACCCAAGGCCCCAGAGATTTCTGAGGCCTCCTCACTGACACTACATTCACTGAGTCTGGAACAGTTCCCTTTTGGCCTCTCAGCCATCAGTCTGTGGTTCAAGAGCGCCCGCTTGTCCATTCAGCTGTTTTGTGGGTATCACCAGCAATCTTGACCTCTATGCTCATCACTCCTCGTTCTTTGTCACTGGGTTCCAGGAGTTCAGTTAAGTGTTTAGCTGTGGGTATTTGCCTCTACTTCCATCAGTCACTGGATGAAAGTTCTAGGATGGCATATAAGTTAGTCATCAACCTCATCATCAGGGAGGGGCTGTTAATGTTGCTTAGTTTGCCAGTTGGTGTTATCCTTGTAGATCTCTGAAAACCTCATTAGCATCATCTCTCTCCTCAAACCTATAGTGACTCCATCTGTTATGGTATCTCTTATCCTGTTCTCCTCTATTCTTACCTTGGCTCAATCTTCCTCCTTCTCCATGCCTTCCTCTCCTCTCCTCTTATCCCCTTCTCATTTTCCTGGTTCTCTCTCCCCTCCCCTGATGTTCCCAATCTGCTCAGGAGATTTAGCCTCATTCCTCTTCTCTAGGGTATCATGCATATCTCTTGGGAACCTCCTTGTTTCCCAGACCCACTGGCTCTGGGATTGTAGGCTGACACTCTCCTGATTGATATCTAAAATCCATATATGAGTGAGGACATACCATGTTTGTCTTTTTGTGACTGGGTTATCTCACTGAGGATGGTTTCTTCTAGTGCCATTCATTTGCCTGCAAATTTCAAGATTCCATTGGCTTTTTGTTTCTGCTGAGTAGTACTCCATTGTGTAAATGTACCACATTTTCTTTATCCATTCTTCAGTTGTGGGGCATCTAGGCTGCTTCCATGATCTAGTTATTACAAACAATGCTGCTATGAACATAGTGGAATAGAGGTTCTTGTTGTATGAATGAGCATCTTTTTGGCTATGCCTAAGAGTGAAATTACTGGGTCTTGTGGTAGACTGATTCCCATTTTCTCAGGAATCTCCAATACGATTTCCAAAGTGGTTGTTCAAGTTTGCACTCCTACCAGCAATGGATAAGTGTTCCTTTTTCTCCATATCCTCTCCAGCGTAAGCTGTCATTGGTGTTTTATTTTTTATTTTAGCCATTCTGACAAGAGTTAAGATGATATCTTGGGGTTGTTTTGATTTACATTTCTCTAATGGCTAAGGATGTTGATCACTTTCTTAAGTGTCACTCAGGCATTTTAGACTCCTCTTTTGAGAATTCTCTATTTAGTTCAGTCCCCCACTTTTTAATTGGATCCTTTTGTTTTTTGGAGACTTACTTCTTGAGTTCTTTGTAAATTTTGGAGATCAGCCCTCTGTCAGATGTGGGGTTATTGAATATCTTTTCCCAATCTGTGGGTTGCCCTTTTGTCTTGCTATGTCCTTTGCCTTACAGAAGCTTCTCAGTTTCAGGAGGTCCCATTCATTAATTGTCAGTCTCAGTGTTTGTGCTACTGGTATTAAGTTCAGGAAGTGTTTTCCTGTACCAATTTATTCAAGGGTACCTCCCACTTTCTCTTCTAATAGTTTCAGTTTGGCTGGATTTATGTTGAGGTCTTTGATCAATTTGGACTTAACTTTTGTGCATGGTTATAAAAAATGCATGTATCTGCAGTCTTCTCCATGCCAGCATCAAGCTATGCCAACACCATTTGTTGAAGATGCTATCTTTTTTCCATTGTATAACTTCAGCTTCTTTGTCAAAAATCAGGTCTTCATAGGTTTGTGAATTAATCTCAGGGTGTTCAGTTTGATTCCATTGGTCTACTTGTCTATTTTTGTGCCAACACCATCCCTTTTTCAGGACTTTAGCTCTATTATAGAGCTTGAATTCAGGGATGCTGATGCCTTCAGACATTGTTTTGTTGATCAGGATTTTTTGGCTATTCTGGGTTTTTGTTTTTCCATAAAAATTTGAGAAATTTTCTTTCAAGGTTTGTGAAGAATGTGCTGGGATTTTGATGGGTATTGCATTGAGTCTGTAGATTGCTTTTGGCAGGATTGCATTTTTACTACATTGATCCTACCTATCCAAGAGCATTGGAGATATTTTCATTTTCTAGTGTCTTCTTTTATTTCTTTCTTTAAAGACTCAGACTTCTTGTGATACAAAAAATCCAGAGAATCTTCACATCTTACTTTCAAAACCTGTACTCTACAAAATTTGATAATATAAAGGAAATGGATAATTTTCTGGATGATATCACTTAGCAAAATTATATCAAGAATAGATAAGCAATTTGAAGAGTCCTATAACTCCTAATGAAATAAAAGCAGTCATCAAATGTCTCCCAAACAAAAAAAATTCCAGGCCCAGATTGCTTTGGTGCAAAATCCTACCAGAAATTCAAAGAAAACACAATACCAATTCTCCTCAGAGCATTCCACACAATAGAAGCAGAAGGTTCATTGCCAAACTATTTTTACAATTGCCTTGGTACCCAAGCCCCACAAAGATACAAATGAGAAAGAGAACTACAGAGCAATATCCTTCATGAACATTGATGCAAAAATACTCAATAAAATACTGTCCAATAAGATCCAAAAACACATTAGAGATACCATCCACCATGATCAAGTAGGTTTCATCCTAGTGATGCAGGGATGGTTCAACATACGAAATTCTGTCAATGTAGTCCATCATATAAACAAACTGCAAACGAAAATCCACATGATCATCTCATTTGAGGCTGAAAAAGCCTTTGACACACCCTCTCATTTTAAATGTCCTGGATAGACCAGGGATATCAGTAACATAACTGAACATAACATAGGCAATATAGAATAAACTAACAGCCAACGTCAAACTAAATGGAGTGAAACACAGCACAATTCCTCTAAAATCAGGAACAAGACAAGGCTGTCTGCTCTCTCCATATCTCTTCAGTTTCACACTGGAATGTCATTTAAACAATGATTTCCTTTGAATTTTCAGTGACTAAAACCTCAGTTGTTTCATGTCTTGCCATCTA